TATTAAAGAAACTATGTTTACTATTAAGATTTCAAAGACTACATAATTTGAATGCATATTGTAACACTTACCAGAAAATGTATGTTCATCTAACATGTATGCCAGGAAAACTGATACTAAATGTGTGCAACAACATCAATAATTGGGGAGGTAGCATAGGCTTTATGGCTGGAGATGAAAACTAGCAATACAAATGGTACATGTATTGTTATGTTAGGCCCCTGACCATAAGGGAAAAGGAGGCATTTCAACTACTCTTGCAGGTTGTGGCGAGTAAATACCCAACCTGCCAGTGTAACAATGGTGTGCACCTGTGAAACGTGACTAAATAGGATACCCCAAATTGTCAATGCTTTTAAAAGTTTGTACATGGTTGGTGGAGAGGCAAGCCAATGTTATAATTATGGGAGATTTCAACTATCCGGATATTGATTTCAGCAAACTGAACCACACTCGCCAAAGGCCCATCAATACGTTTTTCTACATGAGATTTACAGAGGGTCAAATGGTGGAAACTCCAACTAGAAAAAAAAATGCTGTTGGATTTACTAATTTCTTATAATCCAGAATTAATCACATGTGAATTAAGGGACAACCTTGGGTAGAAGCAATCATTGGGCAATAACATTTGTTGTTTTTGGGGAAATGAAAGTAGGAAAAACGCTAAACTTTAAATATAGCTGCAAGCAGCAATAAAGGTGGCCAAGCATTTCAGCTGGTTATAGCGCATTAGAAAATATTGTAGTTGGAGACATAAATAGCAAAGTTGTCTATTCACAATAGACCTTGTACAACTACATACGTTTTCATGATTTGTAATATATTTCAAAATTGGCTGCTGACCATTCACATCTATATAAAATATTCACGTATGTTGCCGTGTATCAAATTTTCCGATAGTTCGGTAGTGATTGCACAAATGTGTATATGTTAATGTGGTTGGCTTGCCGATCATATTCCCTTCCCATGACTAAACTTTTTAGTAGGGGAGGTGGGGTTTTTTGTGTGTGAGACTAAAACGAAACCCAAGTAATAAAGTTAATGGGATGAAAATGAAAAATTCTGGGAGTGACTATTGAATTTGGCTTCCAGTTCCCTGAACTCCTGAAAGACTTGAACAACAAAATAATCTTGTTCTGTCCTTGCTATAAGTTACCCTGTGGCCTGTGTATAGCTTGACATGCAGCTAAACACCCCCCTTCTGCAAAATGCCAGACTGGATGAAATCTTGAAGCTTTATTAACAGGGTGGTGTGAAATATGACATGAAAACAATATATGAACATGTAAATGAGGTGATGGCTCAAAAATAAATGTGTCCCTACTAGTGATGCTGCCATATGGAAAATAATATTTACTTCAGACAGGAGCTCAGGATGACATCAGATTCTCTTCTCCTTGGTTGTAAGATGTAGTCCAAGTCCCACAATGCATTTCTTTCTTCATGGGCTGAGAACTTACAATAGTAAAACTGCTCTGTTGCAAAGGAAGTATTGCACCATCTTGTGGCTGATTTTGAGAAGGTAGGTAAGTCAATAAATCCCATGGTTGAGGGCAGAACACTCCCTACCTGGTTTCATCAAACCTTTAGGTTTGCTCTCTTGCCACTTTCTGCGTGGTTGCAAGGTGGAAATGTGGTTTCCTCAACCTGTCCCAGAAGGTATCTGCAACACTATACTAGTTTTCAGTGATGTGTATACAAGGCCTTCGTATTGAATTCTCTAGGAGTGTGGACTACAGTTTTGAGTGGTGAGGGTTGCTGGAGTAAGCAAGAAAGGGTTCAATGTGAATGGCTCTGGGCAGTCATGCAAGTATGACTGACCAGCGCTTGCTGTTTGCCTGACAATCTCTCGTGTGGCCTGTGATGACAGGCCAAAGACCATACATCAAGGCCAACATCAGCTGGAAGATTAGCTGGACCTCATGGCATTCTCCACATATCTAACACAGATCAGGATTCAGTCCCACACCAGAAAAAGGATACTACCAAGGGTGATGGTAACAAGGTTTATTACCACATACAACAACTGTTTCAATGTCATCAACAAAAACTGGCACATATTGAGAAAGGACCCCAGACTAAGCCCAAATTTACCCCCCCACCACACAAACCTACCATTAATTTTAGGAAATCTAGGAATGTGAAGAACATGGTAGGGCCCAGCTGTCTATTCCAAGGACCAGAAATCACACCAAAGAACTTTCTATTTGATAATAGGGTGGGGATTTTTCAATGCAGAAAGCCCAGGTGCCTAACCTGCCAGTTTATCCAGCACGGCCAAACTAAATTCTTCGACCATCTCAAAAAGCCATATCACATCAAGCAATTTATAACATGCTCATGTTGTCTATGGGCTCACCTGTCCCTGCGGGCTTCTGTACGTGGGCCGCACCAAACGTCCACTACGTGCTAGAATTGGAGACAACAGATGCCTGATCCAGAAAGGGGACCTTGAACATAATGTCCCAAGACCTTTTTCTTTAAAACATCATAAAAATATCCAGGGCCTTCAGGTGTTTGCCATCGAGCATATCTCCACCCATCTGTCACCATCAGAACGTTTTCACCTACTATGTAAGGGAGACTTTCTGGATCTACAAATGAAACACCTTGACACCAGTTGGTCTGAATGAAGAAATTGAGATTCACACCATACTAGAAGTCCCTTCCTGTCACTCATTCTACCAGCTTTTCAACCGTCTTGTAACTATGCGGTCCCGTTGCTCCTCCAGTCTAATTTCATAATGGCGGGTCCATGTACAAATATAGGGCTCCACACACAGGTGCGTTTTTTTTTTCTACACTTGCATTCCAGATCATTTTGAGACTTCAAAGCAATTGCGTGCAAGTGTTGTAGAGTACATTTGGTCCACACTTGTTACCATCCCCAGCGAAGGGCTCTTTTAAGAATACATGTTTTTTATGTTGTACTAAGAGTCCCCCCCCTCTTTTTTTTACCGCACTGAGAGCCCTCTCCTTCGTTTAGACTTTCTTCCCCATTCATGACCTGTCACACTGGCGTGACACCAACCTGACGAGACCTGCTGAACGTACCGAACATAGTATAATACAGCCGTTTGCGGTTTCCCCTTTCCTAGCCGCCGCGGCCCGGCCTGGCCAGCCGTGCACGCGTGTTGCCAGGTTTCTCCACAGTGCTCCTACACCCGCTACCACATACTCCTGGGACAATCTATCCTCGAACTCTCCCCAGGCACCCGCCATTAGGATTGAATAACCACCTTTGACACACCAGCTGCCTTCCAACTGTAAGTCACATCATTCGATTTTTCACCAACATTAGACATTGGACATTCTTAATTTAAGGTAGTAGTGCTCCTAACGCTTGTTGTTTATATGTATTGA